GATTAGGCTAATGAGTATGTTCCCGAGTTCGAGGGTTCTGGACCCCGACACACATCCACTCGTAATGTGAATGCTTCCGTTCGGCGGGAGAGGGAACAGATGCGCCTTCATGCTCGCAGGGTACAGACTGCCCAGGCTGGTAGTTCGAGACATCATGTTAGTCCGATGCAGAGTGGTAAGCAGTCTGGCCCAATCATGCCTCAGTCTGGCCCACTCATGCCTGACAGTTGGAGTGGTCAGCAGTTTGGCCCAGTCATGCCTCAGTCTGGCCCAGTCATGCCTCAGTCTGGCCCACTCATGCCTCAGTCTGGCCCACTCATGCCTGGCAGTTGGAGTGGTCAGTAGTCTTGTCCAGTCATGCCTCAGTCTGGCCCACTCATGCCTGGTAGTTGGAGTGGTCAGCAGTCTGGCCCACTCATGCCTCAGTCTGGCCCATTCATGTCTGGCAGTTGGAGTGGTCAGCAGTCCTTGTCAGTGAGGCCTAGCAGATCTGGACGTCTCCCGACTATACATATTGTTCGTCGGCGGGACTCCATTGAGTCAACAGTCAGGAGTCCGAGGCATGATGATGATGACGACGACGAGCAGACCTATGATGATGTCGAGCAGGCCTATGATGATGACGAGCAGACAGATGATGATGACGAGCAGGCTTATGATAATGACTTTGATGCAGCTGACCAGCCACTGACCCAGCCACAGGCACGTCCAGGTAAACGACTCGGCCGAGTTGATCCTCCACGACAGGCTGGGGGCCGTTATACGAGCGCTGCCTCATCTTCAGGTAAATGATTTACGTATTTATTGTTGTTTACCATTAGATATTATTTTATTTAATAATAACGCATCATTGATACAATCAATCACAGTATGCCGTATATATATTGATTGTGTTATTATAATGCAGGGGCGAGTAGCAAACGCACTAAGTGTGACGACTGGCTTGTTAAAGCCCCAGTACCCGGTGGCCCCTTTGACGGGAGTGTTATCCCTAGTTTTCTTGGGCACGTAGCCTCCCGAATTTGGACAGGACATGTTAGAGGCACGTTGAAGTGCCAAAACAGGATGTCAGCGAACGGTGTTTTGAGGGAGTGGCTCGTACGGATGGCTAAGGCTCCGCTTGATCTGATCCGTCCGACCGGGCTGTCACATTTGGCGTCCAGCATGCATGACCACATCGACACTCCACTTATTTCAGCATTTGTGGAGCGCTGGCAGCCGGATACCAACTCGTTTCACCTGCCTTTTGGTGAAATGAGTATCATGTTGCACGACGTGAGGGCGATATTGGGAGTTCCTATCGTCGGTACGGTAGTCACAGGGGACCCCGACACCTTGACACAGCAAGCGCATTGCATGGAGCTCCTGGGGGTGGACCAGGCAACGCTGATAGCGAAGTTCTGGGGTAACGGCTCGGTGACGAATGAAGCCGTTTACTGCGTTGGAGAAGAATGGCGCAGGTCGGTCGGCTGAGCATGTGGCGATTGGCTGGCTGTGGGTGCTGCTCGCTACCACCTTGTTTACAGACAAGAGTGGTAACAAGGTCAGTCCCAAAATCCTGCACGAGATGATGGAGGACCTGCAGAGTATTGGGACTTACTTGTGGGGCTCGGCCGCACTGGCATACCTATTCAGACATTTAGGTATGGTCAGCAGGGGGGAGTCGGGGGGAGTGGCGGGCTGCTTGACTCTCATGCAGTCCTGGATATACGAGTACTTCCCCACCTTCCGACCCGCCGGTTTGCGTATGGCCTCCGAGCCTGACATCTTGGCCCGATCAGCCTTGTGGAGGACCCCCGTACTAGATAACTCAGATAAGCGCCTCAAGCATTTCCGTAGGCAGCTTGACAGACTCACAGCCGCCGAGGTACGTTAAGTTATTTTATTACATTTACTTGAAAGTTATTTAGAATACTCGAATTGTTTGAATAAATGTTTTATGCAATTGTGAACAGGTAAACTGGCTGCCATACGGCCCCAACCCACAGTTGCAGGAGCCCAGGACCCTTTATTATGGATGCCTTAGGTACCGGGATATTATGGAGCCGTACATGCCTATGCGTTTCTTGCGTCAGTTGGGCTACGTCCAGACGATCCCTCCCCGCATGGATCGTCCGATCACTGTATTTCGTGGTTGGAATGCTAGGATGTACAGGGTTGAGCATGCATCGGACGCTGCAGTAGATCACTGGGATCAGTTCCCGATACTGCATTCTGTACGCTTGTCTGATTTTACTCCCACCACCACAGATGATCTAGGGGCGGTCCATGAGGACTACCAGCAATGTTATGAGCGTTATTCTCATCCTAGACTCTTGCCCGACAGTCAGGCGGACAACGAGGCTGTCCCTGCGCGCGCCAACACAGATTACGTAAGTCGTTTACTAAATTTAGTTAGTATTCGTTCATTACAAATTTTTTTTTTATATTTTAATTATGTGTATATATTTTCGTTGTGCTTTGTGTAGTGGATCAGACGGTCCATGTCCCTTTCATCAGATATGCATCAAGAGATCGCGACACTTGCTCCTGATAGGGCGGCAATTTATGCAGAAAAACTGGCTCAGTTGAGGTTGGATTTCGACAGAGCGCAGTAGTGATGTAATAATTACTTCTTTTTTTTATATATTTTGTTTTGGATGTTGTCAGAAACCACCCGAATTGTTTTTTATTTTTTTATTTGTGGTTAGTTAATTTTATTTTCATCTAAACAAAAAATTCTCCCATTATATCACGTGAAACGGTAGACACGGCGAGATATCACAATCTATCACTTGTAACGCATGAAAATAAAATTTAAAAAAAAACCACAGACATAAGTCGAATATCACAATATATCAAATTCCAGCTGCAGTACGAATATCATTCCACAACTGGAACCTGCTCTGGTACTGATACGGCCAATCTCGAACCGAAACATCTCGGTATTTCTCCCAAAAAAAACACAAAGGCGGTAATGGAGAATCAGAACACAGATTGATACGAATGAAGTGCGCGTAGGAACCAAGATGACCTATGACGATCTCACAGTCAGGTCGTGTAGCTGTGGATGGTGCGCGGATCGGGAATACCGTCATACTGGCCATGTCCATATTGTTATCGTTGGGACCATAGCTTAACAACACGACAACTGCATTGAACAGTGTAGCAATAGCAAAGAGGTCGCCCGTAGCATTCATC